ACTATTTGTTTTGTATTTCTAGACCTTCGTTATAGTGCTACATTTTACGTCCCATGAAAATTAAAGTTCTGCTTTATATGTTGTTAAGTAGAGTATTGTATATTTATTTATTTATTTTAAATGTTGTATTAACTTAAAGTATAAGCGTTTGTGCTGCTTTACAATTGTACATTTATTAAACTTGAAATGTTAAACTGTACTAAGTGACAACATGGATATTTGAGTTGACTAAACTTAAAATTAAGGCAACACACACACACACACACACACACACATATATATATATATATATATATATATATATATATACACACACACAATATATATTTTAAATTTAAACAACAGTTTTTATAGTGTAGATTTACCATCTGTTTCTGCATAAATTGTTACAAAAGTTACAGATTTACCATGACTTAACACACAGCTTTCTTTGAACACACTGACACTATATATATATATATATATATACACACACACAGTATATATTTTAAATTTAAACAACAGTTTTTATAGTGTAGATTTACCATCTGTTTCTGCATAAATTGTTACAAAAGTTACAGATTTACCATGACTTAACACACAGCTTTCTTTGAACACACTGACACTATTGTTCGACTGAATAATGTATTTTATGTATTTCTGTTTATGAATGAAATCATATTTATGAATAAAACTGAATTTACTCACATATATTATTATAGACTCACATATTATCATGTTAACAGGTGGAAAACAGTAGATTGAGTAGTTTATTATTAGTTAAAATTTAGATATAGATTTTTAAAAGCTACTCTTTAAAGCTCCTCTATATAACTTTTTGTAAAAAATAAAATAAAACTGCATGTGTCTTGTGAAAGAACGTTTTAGGGGTTTTTTTCATCCCTGCACCGGTGTACACATGCAAGTACTAAAAAAAAGTTATTTGAACAGCTGACATACTTTATGCTGTTGTTTTGAATTACTGGAAACATTTGTCAATTGAAAAACATGACGTAAGAAAAGTTTACAAGCCGTTAACATGAGACATAACAATTGATAGGCTGATAATGTCAAATGTTATAATAAAGTCATATTGTTACCGAGAGCTACATGGCTGTCAGTCAGTTCATTAAAATACACCTTAATAAGAAAAAAGAATCCTTAATAAGAAAAACACATATGACACTGAAATAGTGCAATAAACATTCATTTAACAACATTAGGTGTAACACACAACCCTAATATACAAAACTGAAAAGAAAAAATTAAGAAGGAACATAGTTATTTCAACAAAACAACATAAAATGTGAAATGTAACGCAGGGAATTCTGGGAATGTCAATTTACGGTTATTCACTGTAAATTATATGGTATTTTTCACTTCCAAAAACGGTATACTACCGTAAAATTAATGTCCAATACATGTAATGTCCAATAAAGTTTTTCACCGTATATAGTAGGGGAATTTACCGTTAACCATTTAACAGGTTTTTACTGTAGCATTTTTACAGTCTTTTACTGTTAAATTCACGGTCATTTTTTACAGTGTGGTTTAAGAGGGGTTTTGACTACTTCTTTAGCTTAAGCCAGCTATGTCCAGCTAAAACCAGCCAACCATGGTGGTTTCAGTTTTATTTTATTTTATTACATATATATTTTTTAGCTGGGATTCCCTAGAGGCTGCCATTTTTCATGACCCATTGATACTAGTTGTGACATCTAACTTTCAGCTTCATGCTACTCCAACACCATATACTCCAGAGTTTCAGGAGTTTCCATCTTTTTTCTTCATGTCGATGGCTGTCCACTCTGTGGAGCATTACTAGCACCATCAGCACCTTTACATATATCGCCTGACTGTATTGTTGTTTGCTTAGAACCTCAAATTGTTAGAGATTTGGCATCACCTTGTCCTGTGTTCAGCTCATTTGTTTTCTGCTCATATCCCCACATTTCAGACCCAAGCAGTTTTTAACCCTGTTTCGTGCAAACTGCAAAAAAAAATTAATAGCAAATTATACACCTGTGTATCCCATCTACCTGCTCCCAGAACATCTTCAAACCTTACCAATAATTTCTCGATACTTTCAGGTAACGTCCTACAAGAATCATTATATCATCACACTCCAATCCAATACTTTTTAGTTTACAGATATGATGTAACACGCTAGGCACATGACTGTTTGGGTTTTGTCTTTATTCTACAACACCTTCAATTCCACAAACTCAGAAATTAGTTTAACGGTAAAAGCTCCTGCAGTCACCGATGTAAAGTTGGTTCGACGTTTTGGTGTCTGACATTTGTCAGAGATTTAACCTCGAAAATCTTCTTTAACGATTAAGCACAATGACAAGAAACATCGGCTATACTGTGTTATAATTGTTTTCAAATGCAGAAGAGAACAAACAATGTGTTTTGTTTGTTTTAATCTGCCTTAAATTATTGTAATTGAAAGTATTGTAGATAGGGACCATCTGCAAAGTGCAAAACGAAAAGCAAAAATCACAACTATTCCATCTAAATGCTTCACTTGTGAAATGTGGAAAAAATAAATCTCAAAAGAACATTTAGATGTTGATTTTATTCACAGAACTTTAGCACAACAAAAGTTATTGAAATGGAACAATTGAGAAAAACTTGCTTACCGCCCCCTAGAGGAAACTTGTTTTGACCAAGTTTGACATTCAGAAGTTTAAAATTAATTTAGAATGCACACAGTTTGATATGTAAATTGTTACTTGTTCAAAGAAAAATATTTACAGCCATCTTTTACTATCATGTGTAAATCAGGATGCACGCTATTGAATTAAAGTTGAATCTGTTAACACATTCATTTTTAAAACAGACAACATTCTATATCAGCTTCAAAGGGTGTGTCTTGTTACTGGTTCCTAAACAAATATGTAGATGTTGGTTTTATTCACAGAACTATAAAACAACACATGATATTAAAATGTAAACAAATACATCAATTAATTTCCTATAAATGTACTCTTCTATCTCAATTTCTAAGGGTGCGTCTTGATACTTGTTCCTAAAAGAACATTTCAATGTTGATATTATTCACATAACTATACCGCCCCTCAGAGGAAGATACTGCAGTTGTTTTGACTGAGTCTGAAATTCAAACCTTTAAAGGGGTCATATGATGTGATTTAAATTTCTCCTTTCTCTTTGAAGTGTTACAAGCTCTTGGTGCATAAAGAAGATCTGTAAAGTTGCAAAGACTAAAGTCTCAAATCCAAAGAGATATTCTTTATAAAAGTTAAGAGTCAACCATGCCTACCTAAAACGGCTCGTTCTAACACGCCCCCACATGTCTACGTCACGATGTGGGAAGATTTGCATAACGCCACTCAAATGTTCACGCAAAGAAAGAAGGCGTAACTTTTATTCTCACTGTAGTATTGTTGCTGCCGCCATGTCGTAAAGATGTTTCGTTGCGAAATTTTGTTTGGCCTTCCAAAAGAGGACGATATCTGCTTCGTCATGCCTGGAGTTGATCTGTGCTGATCAACTTCGTGCTGTGAATCTCCGGATCGGGTTTCACCGTGGACGAAGAGGAGTCCAGCCCATGGCATCACATGTGGTTGCCACAAGCCCGCCGGCCACTCCTTCGTTGAATCCGCCGGCCGCCGCTCACTGTAGCCGCCGGCCTCTGCTCACTCTAACCCGCCGTGTGACGCTGTATGTTTCGTTGTGAAAGCAAAACAACTTTGTTTGGCCTTCCAAAAGAGGACACGACTAGAAATCAGTGATTAAGTTGTATTTACAACACTGTTCCAGAACAGTTCAACCCAAATATTCAGATGTGTGCAACACATTTTATGGAGGACTGTTTCCTGATACTGGGAGAGTAGACTACAATGCCGGCTGTTCTGACTCACAGACTGTAAGTACGTTTTTTATATTTAAAGAATTTGCCACTGACGATTCAAATGTGAGTTTTGAGCAGTGTAGATGTATATATAAATCAGATTTCAAGCATTTTACTACACTTCAGTATGTGATTCTTATTAAGTAGAGGTAATTTTTTAGGATTCTATACTTAACCTAAGTCTCTGAGAACCTGACACCTTGTACTTCTGGAGACTCCAGGTAGGTTGCAGTTCTGGAAAATGGTGGCGCTGGAGACTAAATGGTTCCTGGTGATTTCACACCTAATTCTTCACCTTAATTCCTAATTCTTTTGCAGTTAACATGCATCTTTTCTTCTCCACATGTTTTTGACTGACCCTACTGACCCACTGAGCATTTTGTTGTCCAATAGTTATGCATTAACTCTTTAACTGCAATTTCTAGTATTGTATTAGTTTTGAATATTTCTCATGGGCATTTAATAATTTTTTACTTTCAGTCTGAGTTAAATCTCTTTTTT